AACCACAACAACAGTCTTATCCCACTACTCTTGGGATTCAACTCCAAGAAATCGAAATAATTTTTCAATTGTTAATTTGCTGAAATTCTCGGAATTTCTTATGCACGAGACTTTTTCTTTCCTGTTCTTTAGTTGAGTTTCCTGGAATTCACATTTTTAATTGTAGTTAATGGTCTTTAGCGGTTTGTTGCCAAGAGTGAGTGAGAGAGAGAGAGAGAGAGAGAGAGAGAGAGAGAGAGAGAGAGAGAGAGAGAGAGAGAGAGAGAGAGAGAGAGAGAGAGAGAGAGAGAGAGAGAGAGAGAGAGAGAGAGAGAGAAAGAGAGAGAGAGAGAGTACCCCAAACTCTGACACAACAATACATGAATTAACTGATACTGTGAGAGGAAACACAATAAACAGCATAAGAGAGAGACAAAGACACAGAGAGTCTGTCAGTAGCAACAAATAAAAGAAACAAACAAAACACATTACAGAAAATAAAAATATCCCACCTTCTTCAATGCTTTCTGAGAAATTTCATCAGAAAGTGCAGTGTTTTCCAATACATTTATCCTCTGAAATATTAAATAAATTTTGGGCTCTATTTACTCTAAATTCAGTTTAATTAAATTGATTGTAGAGGCCAGTGACACAAGTCATATTATACATTATATATATATATATATATATATATATTATATATATATATATATATATATATATATATATATATATATATATATATATATATATATATATATATATATACATACTATATATATATATATATAATATATATATATATATATATATATATCTATATATATATATTATATTCTCTTATAACTTTCTCGTATTTTAAATTCCTGTTATTCCTAAGCAGGCAGAGGTGAACCCCAGAGGTACAGAGATCAAGGACGGACCTGAGGTTGATAGAGGGGGAGGATCGTCGACCCCCACCTCAAGCATGAGGGAGTGTCGCCCCCTCCTGTCTGTATGCCAGGGATCACGGTAGTCGGGGAGAGATCACCCCCCTCCTCTGAATTCCAAAGGTCACAGGTCACAGGGGTCACGGTGATTGGGGCCCTCGCTTTCTGCCCACTAATTAACACAATCCTTTAAGCTTAGCTGACAATTGCATGTCAAAATCATTGCGAAGATAATCCAGTAATGCAATTTTTTTTTAACCACGAAAATGTTAGTTTTTCATTCAATATATAAAAACATAAAAATTTTCCAGTATTTTCAGTGATTATTTAAATTATTTGTGATGAAATAACTTACTTAGTTAATAATTAGATACAAGTCGCACAAGCGAGATGCTATATTGGAATTCTTGTATAATTGTATTCGCTGGATCAAGAATTGCTTTCAAAGACGACGCGAAGACACGTAGAGCTGAGACAGCGTTCTTGCTCTTGATTTGTAAATGTGACATTATTCCTCAGTCAGAAAAAAACATTAAGTATTGGTCGTGTCAACATTCCCGACACACCAGAGTAAGAAGAGACGCTAGACACAAGCACTACACATGACCACTACACATGACCAGGTGAACTAACTACAAGTATTAAAAAAGTCGTAATGCCAAATACGACAACCAGAGCGCAACTCCACAGTCTCCCGGGGCTGCTGGATGCCTACTAATGCTCAATAATTTCCCCTTATCTTGAGATGATTTCGGGGCTTAGCATCCCCACGGCCCTGTCCTCGACCAGGCCGCCTTTTTGTTACACAGCCCCAGGAAGCAGCCCGTAGCAGCTGTCTAACTCCCAGGTACCTACCCTGGAAACACAAACCAAAACTATCTCTTATTTTTCGCTTGTTACAACTTGTAATAAAGTTGTTACATCTTGGCTTAACATGTTAATGACGTATTAGAACGTTGTTACAACTTGCTATATTGGATGTTATAACTGGTTAGGTGTTAAAACTTGCTCGAACGTTGTACCAACGTCGTAGTTCCGGTGTGTGTTTGGCGGGTATTTACTGATAGGTAACAGGGACTTCAGGGTGAAATAAACATTTAGCCCATTTGTCTCCGCCATCTCCGGGGTTCGAACCCGGAACCTCAGGACTACGAATCCGAAGCGCTGTCCACTGAGCTGTCAGGCGCCCCTTCCGGTAATGTCTGGCACGGAACAACACGATCACAAGATGTTAACTTGTAAGACAGTAACGTTCCTCCAGTGTTCAGGAAGAGTGAGAGTTGAGTGGGCACTACACTACGGTGCTGCGTGACAACAGTGTGAGGTAAATATACTAAAACAACTGCGGGCAACAAATGAAAATAACGTGGCTGAAAACGATGCGATTGGATGATTATCGATGACGGACCGACACGTCGTCCGACATGTGGGTTGTGTGTCTATGGAAGCAACAATGTCGGTCAGAATACAGTTTTAGAGGACCACAACTTTATGATGGAAAATCAAAATGGGTTAAAAAATAAAGGTACTGTCTTACGAATCTATTAGAATTCTTAAACAATACTGTATATACATAACATGAGGCCCCCTAAAATCCCGGCTATGAAATACTCTTGGATTTCCAGAAACTCTCAGGAAACATTGCTTGGTAAACTTTGATCACGTGGGACTGGTGACAGGTTACTTACCAGGATAACGCCCCCAGGCTCACGGCAAGGCAACAAGGAGCGGAACTACACGGAGAAGTGTTCAACTCCTAGCAACCCGCGCGGTACCTCAAGGCTAGCTACTCGGCCCCACGCTTTTTATAATTTCGTTATATGATCTCGAAATAAGAATAACGTAAACAATCTCAAAATACGATGATGACTCCCTATTGGGAAGTTATCTGCCTATAACTGCCTATCTTTTGAGGCAGACGGTCATGCACCTGGACCCAGACAGACAGGTACAGTGCTCACGGACATGGAAGATGAGTCTCAACGAACTGAACTGTTAGGTAATGTGCTCTGGCTATAACAATATCAAATATTACCGAGAGTAAGTCACAGTGGTGTGGCTAAACAACCAAACACACACACACATACATGAGCATGAAAGAGTGACGTTTCCGTCCACAATGAACCCTTTCCAAGTGTTAGGAAAGTAACTTAAACAACCAGCGAAGAGAAGGATCTTAGAGAAGTCGTCAGTGGTGACCGGAGATGAATGAAGTAGTTACTGGAACGAACAACCAGTGGGGTCAGATTCACAAAGCAGTTACGCAAGCACTTACGAACTTGTACATCTTTTCTAAATCATTGGTGGCTTTGTTTATAATTATTAAAAAAATTAATAAGCTCCGAACCACCAGGAGGCTGTTTATAGCAATAACAACAGTTTATTAGGAATTTTTCATGCTTGTAAACTGTTTAATAAATTTAACCAAAGCCGTCAAAATTTGAGGAAAGATATACACGTTCGTAAGTACTTGCGTAACTGCTTCGTGAATCTGGCCCCCGGGGTCAACAAAATGCTGCGTTTCTCAGGCAGGAATATTGATCACCAAGCACTTGAGACCATAATGAGTGCCTGAGACACCCTTCACAGTCTGGGTCTCCCAATAACAAAAAGATGAAGGAAAACCTCGCGATAATACAGAGACTGGCGACTAAATTATTACCATCATTAAGAAATAAACACTAAGTCTATAGGGAGAGAGTGTTGGAGGCCAGATGCCGTGGGCTAGCCTCACGCACATTTACAGAGGGAATAATCTGGGGTACGGGGAAGACATAGGCTGGTCGGGGAAAGTCGTCTTTCATATTTGTAGGCTCAGAGCGACCCGTGCATGCAGCAGGAATTGATGAGAAACTTTGACCAAATTGCACCGCGAATGTTCCTTATAGGTAATTGCTGGTAAAGTTGTGTTGGTACTGTGTACGCCAGTGGCGTGAGCCCCTTGTAATGCAGGTTCGAATCCTAGTCGGGTCATATTTTTTAGTGAATTATGGCTTGGGAGACCATTCAAGCTTTCGTTCATATATATATAAATACACACAACCAACTTCTGGTTGTCCACTAGCCCTTGCAACATTGGCCTTACGTATAACAATTAAGGTCACCAGCATCACTCCTGTGTTGAAAAACTTGATGCTCTCTCTCTCACTCTCTCTCTGCCCCACTTTGTCATTCCCCAAACTGAGAAAGACAAGAAATATTTCAGTTCCAAAGTCTGAGTCATCCTTCAATGCAAAATAGATGGAGAGTGTGAGGAGGGAGAGAGCGAGGGAGGAGACAGTGAGGGAGGGGAGAGGGCAAGTGTGATTCACGTCACTGTCTCGATTTCCCAAGAGAAGTGGATGCTAGACACAGAGAAGGAGGGAGGGAGGGAAGAAGGATGGAATGAAGTAAATGTTGAAGTGTTTACCATGACCAAGAATATCAACCCGGATGTAGGCGCGGGTCTTGCCTCTAGATACTGTTTACCAAACAATATCTAGAGGCCAAACAAGAAGCAAAGTACACGGAAGAAATACAGAAAAAGCAGAACAAAAGAGACTCACAACACTTACAGAAGGACGTGAAGGGAATAAGGAGAGAATGGGAAAGACATTATGATGACAACATAACTCTCAAAGTAAATATAAAACTTACATTTCTCTTCATAGTAGTGAAGGATACAGTAATTAAAATGCTGAGCTCTATAGTGGTGACCTCACCAGAGACAATAAAACAAAGCGCTGGACATGTCCAAAGTTAGTGGTCCTGGTGGACTCTCACTGTGGCTCCTGAAGGAAGCAACATAAGCCTCCTGGCACACCTGGCTATAGTCTCCAGCACATTCCTGCTAAATGGAGAACTGCCAGAGATATAGAAAACGGCCAAAGTGCTTCCTGTATACAGGGGAAAGAGGAGCATGAATCACGGGACTAGTGAGCCCACTCACAAGTTTTCCTTATTAGATTCCCAGGAGACTAACCAAAAACAAATTAATGAAAAAACTATAATGAAAATATGAGGCCTCTTCACTGAGAGTGAGACGGTTATTATCCAATTATACCCACTTATACAACCTCGAGGGGAAATCTTGAATACCTGAGAAGTGCGTGGATGGATAATGGAGTACCTCACGAACAGGAAACAGAGGATCACAGTAAGGAACGAAATGTCAGGTAAAATTCAGAGACGGTTTATAACAAATACTATTCCAGTTTCTTCCACACACACACACACACACACACACACACACACACACACACACACACACACACACACACACACACACACACACACACACACACACACACACTCTCTCTCTTACCAAAACGCGCACAAACACACTCCATTAAAACATACACAACAAACACACATATCAAAGCGGTATTCTGCTCGCCCTACAACCCTCGTTATCTTTTTTAGTTATTGCTCGAACACAAAGCACAAAATCTGTCATACATCACCCTCTCGGTAGCCCTCCCTCGGCGCGCCTCTGTATGGGCGTGTGGGTAATCTAGGGGGGAAGGGGAGGGGAGAGGGGGAGAGAGAGAGAGAGAGAGAGAGAGAGAGAGAGAGAGAGAGAGAGAGAGAGAGAGAGAGAGAGAGAGAGAGAGAGAGAGAGAGAGAGAGAGAGAGTTTCTGCATGCTGTAGGTGCATTTCAAAATAGTTATTCAATCACTTTCCCATCTTCTCTTCCTCCGTCTCCCCATTCCTCTTATATTATCTTCTTTCCTCTCTGCTACGCTCCCCATCTCCCTCTTTTTATCTCTCTATTTTCTCATTCTTTTCTTTCATTTCTCCCTTTCACTCCTTCCCTCATCACATACCTCATCACATACCTCTTCCTCCCTATCCTCATCCTATCCATCCTTTCCCTCCTCTCTCTACTTCCCTGTCATTCAAGAACCTTTACAAGAAATACATCAGAACCTTATACTTCACCTACGGGAGACCTGTGCCTGAAAGTGCAGCCTCATCAAAGTGCAGCCCCTTCTGGAAGGCCTCATCCAAATTTACCTGAATTTACCTAAGGATTACCTTCTGTCTGGCGACAAAATTTGGCACATGACTTACATCGGCGCTGAGAGCTGTGACATTTTACCAAAGGTTTAGCAAGACTTGCAACACTACAGAATAATTAAGAGACAAAAGACATGATCCCGATACACGAGATTCTCAGAAGACTGACCAGTAGAGAAAGCCGAGATGCTCATAAATATAAATGGAAGGTGCATACATATCTTACTTCCCGAGGGAGGCCTTGAGGGGAAGATGTAAGCAGACATTGACCTCGTCTGACCTGAGAGAGGCGCTCGTCTGACCTGAGAGAGGCGCTTCGCTACGATAATGAACGTTGGCAATTTTCCCTCTTTGTATACAGAGCGAAGTTGTTAAAGTGTGGAACAGGTTGGGCCGGCTGGTCGTAGCTGCCAGGAGAACCTCGCTCCCTCATCACTCTTACAAGCTGGCTCTCACTAGCTTACACAACTATCGTTAATATTCCCATGCAAGAAGTAGGCTGGAGAGAGAGAGAGAGAGAGAGAGAGAGAGAGAGAGAGAGAGAGAGAGAGAGAGAGAGAGAGAGAGAGAGAGAGGAGAGAGAGAGAGAAAGAGAGAGAGAGAGATACAGCGAGAGAGAGAGAGAGAGAGGAAGAGAGAGAGAGAGATACAGCGAGAGAGAGAGATACAGCGAGAGAGAGAGAGAGAGAGAGAGAGAGAGAGAGAGAGAGAGAGAGAGAGAGAGAGAGAGAGAGAGAGAGAGATACAGCGAGAGAGAGAGAGAGAGAGGAAGAGAGAGAGAGAGAGAGAGAGAGAGAGAGAGAGAAAGAGAGGGGGATTGAAGAGAGAGAGAGAGAGATACAGCGAGAGAGCAACACAATAATAACGAAATGAAACCGAGAAACAAAGAAAACTAACATGTGAAGTATCAATCGTGGCAACAAAACATACAGAAAAAACTAATTACTATGCAAACGTTAATGTGTGTGGGAAGGTTGGTGGGTGAACACGGGAGAGGACGCACCAGCGGTGGCAGGCAGCCGAGGCATATATGCAAATTGTACGCGAAATCTGCGTAGTCTGTGTTGGTTTACACGGTACAAATGTTGCGCTGGGACCAGGTGCTACCAATATCACCAGGCGAGGATAATGAACATCACTGGTCTGGCAATGCTGCTAGAAATGCAACTTTGTATATGAGAGGTGACGCCTGCAGTGCACGCAAACACTCAAACACACACACACACACACACACACACACACACACACACACACACACACACACACAGTAGTAGACAAATGGAATGCATTAGGAAGTGATGTGGTGGAGGCTGACTCAATACAGAGTTTCAATTGTAGATATGATAGAGCCCAGTAGGCTCAGGAACCTGTACACCAGTTGATTGACAGTTGAGAGGCGGGACCAAAGAGCCAAAGCTCAACCCCCGCAACCACAACTAGGTAACTACACACACACACACATACCATCACACAACACACACACACTAAAAACAACACCTCAATATATTTAAAATTATCGACATGAATAATCAATTAAGTTTAAATTTAACTTAAATTTCAATTACTGGTGCAAGGTACAATAAACTCTTTTCTTGCAAGCCAACCGAGTCTCTTGAGCAAGCGGTAGATGATGACATATTCAATACCCTCGTCTTGAGAAGCCTCTGAAGCCTGAACAAGATGCTCTGCACCCTGCACCCTGCACCCTGCTTTAGCTCATCCAGGTAAGTGGGCAATTTTCAAGTCATAATTGTTCCTCCTGGAATAACGAACACCATAATTTTGCTATTTCCAGGTTGCAGACCCGTGCAACACCTCGCCAGTCTGTTGCTCTTGCAGCTTGGAGAAGTGGCCCAGGCAGTTACATTCGAGAGGTCATTGTAGTAAGTTTAGGAAAGAGCCAAGGTCATTATATCCCGGTGCCACTTGTGCCTTGTTTCCCTGACAGAGGCACCAGCAGGAAGCTGTCAGTCTGGCCTTAATTGGTGTCACTAATTGCATTTGGTATCATAAGATGCACAATATTGTACTGCAATCCCGTGATGTGCAACCTATTATCACACTATTATGATGTGTAGAGCAAGTATAATACAAGCAGTGTGATTCATTATACATGATACAATGTTATGTAATACAGCTGAGTACAATATAATAATACAAGATAATACACAGTAGTGAATTCTATCAGTACAAAGAATGTATTCTGTGAATTTATTACAAAATATTAGAATAAGATGCATTACAAACCACAAAATAATACAATATAAAATTGACCTGTAGTATATCAAGATTTATAATGTAGTAAATACATTATAAAACTGTCAAATCAGTACAGTATATAACTATTATAAAATAAACAAATGTAATACAAGTTAGAGCAATATGGTATATCAGTATACTACAGTATAGTATACCATATAATATACGACTACCTGCAGGAACCCCCAGACACCTGCAGGAACCACCAAACACCTGCAGGAACCACCAAACACCTGCAGGAACCACCAAACACCTGCAGGAACCACCAGACAAATACCTGCAGGAACCATCAAACACCTGCAGGAACCACCAAACACCTGCAGGAACCATCAAACACCTGCAGGAACCACCAAACACCTGCAGGAACCACCAGACAAACACCTGAAGGAACCACCAAACACCTGAAGGAACCACCAAACACCTGCAGGAACCACCAGACAAACACCTGCAGGAACCACCAAACACCTGCAGGAAGCACCAGACACCTGCAGGAAGCACCAGACAAACACCTGCAGGAAGCACCAGACAAACACCTGCAGGAAGCACCAGACAAACACCTGCAGGAAGCACCAGACAAACACCTGCAGGAACCACCAGACAAACACCTGCAGGAACCACAAGACAAACACCTGCAGGAACCACCAGACAAACACCTGCAGGAACCACCAAACACCTGCAGGAACCACCAGACAAACACCTGCAGGAACCATCAAACACCTGCAGGAACCACCAAACACCTGCAGGAACCACCAGACAAACACCTGCAGGAACCACCAGACAAACACCTGCAGGAACCACCAGACAAACACCTGCAGGAACCACCAGACAAACACCTGCAGGAACCACCAGACAAACACCTGCAGGAACCACCAGACAAACACCTGTAAGAACCACCAAACAAACACCTGCAGGAACCACCAGACAAACACCTGCAGGAACCACCAGACAAACACCTGCAGGAACCACCAGACAAACACCTGCAGGAACCACCAGACAAACACCTGCAGGAACCACCAGACAAACACCTGTAGGAACCACCAAACACCTGCAGGAACCACCAAACACCTGCAGGAACCACCAAACACCTGTAGGAACCACCAGACAAACACCTGAAGGAACCACCAAACACCTGCAGGAACCACCAGACAAACACCTGCAGGAACCACCAAACAAACACCTGCAGGAACCACCAAACACCTGTAGGAACCACCAGACAAACACCTGAAGGAACCATCAGACAAACACCTGTAGGAACCACCAGACAAACACCTGTAGGAACCACCAGACAAACACCTGAAGGAACCACCAAACACCTGCAGGAAGCACCAGACAAACACCTGCAGGAACCACCAGAAAAACACCTGTAGGAACCACCAAACACCTGCAGGAACCACCAGACAAACACCTGCAGGAAACACCAGACAAACACCTGTAGGAACCACCAAACACCTGCAGGAACCACCAAACACCTGCAGGAACCACCAGACAAACACCTGCAGGAACCACAAGACAAACACCTGCAGGAACCACCAGACAAACACCTGCAGGAACCACAAGACAAACACCTGCAGGAACCACCAGACAAACACCTGCAGGAACCACCAAACACCTGCAGGAACCACCAGACAAACACCTGCAGGAACCATCAAACACCTGCAGGAACCACCAAACACCTGCAGGAACCACCAGACAAACACCTGCAGGAACCATCAGACAAACACCTGCAGGAACCACCAGACAAACACCTGCAGGAACCACCAGACAAACACCTGCAGGAACCACCAGACAAACACCTGTAAGAACCACCAAACAAACACCTGCAGGAACCACCAGACAAACACCTGCAGGAACCACCAGACAAACACCTGCAGGAACCACCAGACAAACACCTGCAGGAACCACCAGACAAACACCTGCAGGAACCACCAGACAAACACCTGTAGGAACCACCAAACACCTGCAGGAACCACCAAACACCTGCAGGAACCACCAAACACCTGTAGGAACCACCAGACAAACACCTGAAGGAACCACCAAACACCTGCAGGAACCACCAGACAAACACCTGCAGGAACCACCAAACAAACACCTGCAGGAACCACCAAACACCTGTAGGAACCACCAGACAAACACCTGAAGGAACCACCAGACAAACACCTGTAGGAACCACCAGACAAACACCTGTAGGAACCACCAGACAAACACCTGAAGGAACCACCAAACACCTGCAGGAACCACCAGACAAACACCTGCAGGAACCACCAGAAAAACACCTGTAGGAACCACCAAACACCTGCAGGAACCACCAGACAAACACCTGCAGGAAACACCAGACAAACACCTGTAGGAACCACCAAACACCTGCAGGAACCACCAGACAAACACCTGCAGGAACCACCAAACACCTGCAGGAACCACCAGACAAACACCTGCAGGAACCACCAGAAAACACCTGCAGGAACCACCAGAAAAACACCTGTCGGAACTATGAAAACACCTTCAGGAACCACCAGACAAACACCTGCAGGAAACACCAGACAAACACCTGTAGGAACCACCAGACAAACACCTGCAGGAACCACCAAACACCTGCAGGAACCACCAAACAAACACCTGCAGGAACCACCAAACAAACACCTGCAGGAACCACCAAACACCTGCAGGAACCACCAAACACCTGCAGGAACCACCAGACAAACACCTGCAGGAACGTAATAACAGAACAGTACTCAATAAACATAAGGCCCTATAACTAACCTGGTGCGGTGAAGATAACATACAGGCGAAGGCAGGATATCAGCACGGCTTCAAGGCACTGTACACTGGTGCTGCTCTGGCCCGCCTCTGTGGATGATATCAAGCTTAACTGACATTTGATATCACTATTTATATCACTTATCGTAATAACATTTATATCACAATTTCCTATACCATAAATACAATAAGAGACGATGGTAGTCAGATGTATATCCACAATACCATTGATACGGGGAATTTTAAGAATATTAGAATGATTAAGAATGTTAGAAGGAATTATTAAGAATATTAGAAGGTTATTTGACGTAAGCACCGTGCGAGAGGGGACACGAAGAACATCTGTGTTCTGGATAACGACTGTGAACTGACGGAAACTGGTCGTTACCGAAAAAGTCTCAGAAAATCTTTTTATGAAGAACACTGCTATCTGTGTCTTCCACTAATGGCCTCTGATGCATGGTTATGACCTGGAATGGTTACCTTAACTACTTCGCCTCTTACAAAGAGGCTTTTGAACTGTAACCTGAACACGAGAATAATGATTACCTATCGCAGGCTATCGCAGAAAACGGTGTTATTTGGAACACTGAGAAACCTGGAGGATTTTGCCGTAGTGTCTTGAAGGAACTCTCTAAGTCATAGTCTTTAAGTCACTAAGTCTTTAAGTCACTTATAAGCAAAAGCTCATATGGAAGATATTTGAGGACTAAGCTTGAGGAAGCGTGTCCTCTGAGGGCTTAACTTACGGCCGAAATCTGGCAAAAAATCGTGTCCTTTCAAGTGATATATAAAATAATGCTTAGAAGAACCTCTGGAAGAACCTCTGGAAGAGGCTCTGTCCAATTTCTGCAAAATCTCGGAGATCTCAGACATCCTTCTCCTCTTTCAAATTACGTCTGAATTTGGCTGTTTGCCCGTACGGCCGAAAATAGGCGAAATTTGAAAACAAAAATAATTGAAAATAAATGTTGGATTTTTCCCCCCCAAAAAAAAACAGCAAGTTAAGGGTCCTCTGGTAGGTTAGGAGGGCAGGAAGTTCGCCTAAGGTTTCAATACGTCATGGAAACCGTTAATTGAAAGTTTCCTCTCCTAACCTAACCGAGTAAACCGGAGGACTCACAACAGAAATCGAGAGAGTACGTCACTTTCGTGAGGAGATTTAATTTCAAATTACGTCCATTTTTGGCCATAGCGCACATACGAGCGGAAAGCGACGTTATTTTAAGAGGACGGGTTGCTCTTCCAGTCGTGTTCAATACAACACTTATAGAAAGTTACAATAGCATTACAAATGCAACAAGACCTGCACCAAGAGTTTTAAACCCATGCTTTAATTTAACTGTTTTCGCTGACATGAATAACCTGGAAAAATCTTTTCCCAGAAGGAACATGTTGTCCAAGTTGCTGAAGGAAGCCTCCTGGAATATGGCAACCCTGGGGTCCAGGTTCATCACGCATCTACTTACGAACCTGAATTGTCTCACTCTCTTGCGGCTTTGTTTACGTTTATTCAACAGTTTACCAGCACTGAAACTTCACAATCAAATGTTATTATTGCTATAAACAGCCTCCTAGTGCTTCAGAGCTCAAAAACTGCCGAAGATTGAGAAAAGATGTACAGGTTCGTTCCTAAGTACTTGACTAATTGCTTGATTCTAGGTTCAGGTGTGGTATATTGCACAGTAGGCAGTAGTTATCGCAGTCGACTCACAGCTAATTTGTCCTTGGTTCGATTCTTGGGTTGAGCGAGAAGCTTGGGCATGCTTTCATACTCTCAGTTTCTCTGGTCACATAGGTAAAATAAATGCCACTGAGACAGTCAACTAGTGTGTGTGCTTCCTGGGGGCTGGCCAGTTGTTGGCAGGGAGGACTTCAATAATCCTGAGGCCAGTTTATGGTGAAAGCAGATAATAGAGTTGATTTGATTTATAGCAAGACAGTTAGAGAGAGAGAGAGAGAGAGAGAGAGAGAGAGAGAGAGAGAGAGAGAGAGAGAGAGAGAGAGAGAGAGAGAGAGAGAGAGAGAGAGAGAGAGAGAGAGAGAGATGGGGAATAGAATATAAAGACAAAATAGGATAAAGAGGTGTTAAGAATAAGAAAAAGAAGTTTCAAGAACAGTAAACAATTAAGACAAGTTAGAAGAGATAAAAAAATCTAAGTTGATACACCAAGACACAAAGGCAAAAGAAAAAGAGGACGAAATCATTTGATATTCCAGGAATTCAGGAGTCTCTGGCCGGCGTCCCTGGAGGCACCACAGAAGAACTAGTTCCAGACTGTGACACTCTTGGGGTAACTTTTCCAGGAGTTTGTGACCCAGGAGCTGAAGTTCTAAGAAAATTATATCACATGAATTGTTATTCCAGAATTATTCCAGGAAGTGAAAAATTTAAGTCTGTTTCTTTCCTAGAATGGATAAATGAAAGGTAAGTTTTCCTAATATTATTCCAGGACGCGGTGGTCACGGTACTGTGTACGCTTAAGGGTGATCCTGGACAACTTGAATTCGAATCCTGGCTGGGTCAAACATGAGTTCTTATATATATATATATATATATATATATATATATATATATATATATATATATATGTGTGTGTGTGTGTGTGTGTGTGTGTGTGTGTGTGTGTGTGTGTGTGTGTGTGTGTGTGTGTGTGTGTGTGTGTGTGCATTTTCCCCCATGCGACACGAACACATATTATGAAGCAATTTTCCAGTAAAATTTTTTGTTGAATTCATATATTTTACATGAAGTAATATCCAATTACAACGAGAGACAGTTTTACATTTATTAACCTGTGGTGATAGCCAATTTAAAACAAAACTAATATGGTTTACAAATAATATCATCCATAATGTTGTGTAACTAAAGAGCTACCACTAAGACAGATATTATCTAGTTAACAGCAAATACAAGAAAGTCTCACTGCTCTGAAGCACTAAATCTCTAACACAGAGATCTTGCTGGTCTGTTTGTATTTAGGAAAGTCCACAAACTACACAGCCTACATTGAACTTAACTACAACTACCTTCCTAAAATATAACATCAAACAAGAGGCTTGAGATGTGACTACGAGACAGAAGTTAACTTAGCATCAAAGCAATTTCAACGTTCATATCACCCTAAATATG